CCTTTGCATGCTTTGAAAGTCATTAGCTCTTTTTTGTTTGTTTTGGGTACCCAGGATTGAACTCAGGGGCATTCAACCACTGAGCCACATCCCCAGTCCTAGTTTGTATTTGATTTAGAGACAGGGCCTCACTGAGTTGCTTAGTGCCTCCCCAAGGCTGAGGCTAGCTTTGAACTCACAATCCTCTTGCTTCAGCCTCCCTAGCCACTGAGTCATAGGCGTGTGGCACCATAGGCATTTGCCACCGCACCCAGCTAAAAGTGACCTTGGGTAACTTATCAGTGACCTTGGGTAAGATTTCCACTCTGGGTCCATGTGTCCTTATGTATTTATTTGTTGATATTATTGTAGTACTGGAATTGAACTCAGAGCCTCATGCATGGTGGGCAATCACTCAACCACTGAGCCACATCCCCAACCCTTTTTGAGAGAGGGTCTCACTTAATTGCCCAAACTAGTCTAAAACTTGTGAGCCTCCTGTCTCAGACTCCCAAGTACCTTAGATTACAGGTGTGTACCACCACACCTTGGCAGATTTTCTTACTTTTTTTTGGTACCAGGGATTGTACCCAGGGGTACATAACCACTGAGCCACATTCTTAGCCCTTTTTATTTTTTATTTTGAGACAGGGTCTCACTAAGTTATTTAGGGCATTGCTAAATTGCTGAAGATGGCTTTGGCTTTGAACTCACAGTCCTCCTGCCTCAGCCTCTTGAGTTGCTGGAATTATAGGCATGCACTATTGCGCTGGGCAGGTTTCCTTACTCTTAAACTGGGCACAGTGACACACACCTCTAATCCCAGCAACTCAGGAGGCGAAGACAGAAGGATCACAACCTTGAGGCCAGCCTTAGCAATTTAACAAGAACTTGCCTCAAAATAAAAAATAAAAAGGACTTGGAATGTAGTTCAGTGGTAGAGCATCTGTGGGTTCAAGTCCCTCTACCACAAAAAAAAAAAAATCATTTAATAAATTGATGTTGAAACTGGTGATAGATACCCAGAGTCTTACTGTATTGTTTACTTTCCCTAATGGTTTCCATAACAAAACATTTTTGAGGACCAGAATAGATTAAATCAACAGATGTTAACCTTTTTAAAGTAATAGAACCCTTTACTAATGAAAATCTTACCGAAAGGTTTATATGTAGATAAAATAAAGGTGGATCTCTTCAGGTTAAAGAAAAGCCAGACCCCCATCCCTATTGCTCCCCACCTCATACTCAGTCTCTCCCTAGGCACAGAATTTAGGGAACACAGTTTAATGAAAATCATTGGACCAGACCAAAGATTATTCTGGCACTTTTGCCTTTCTCTAGCTATATTGGCTTTGCACTGGCCATTAGCCTATATATCCTGTCCCAGAAATAGTAAGCCTAGGCCATTAATCATCTCTGCAGTCTTTGGAGAATTTGTTTGAATGGTTGCAGGAACAGGGATTGCTGCTAGTGATGCATTTCAGTGTCTGTCTCTGCTGAGTGTTTATTAATAATCTTGTTAATCCCCACTCTAGTTCCTGGATCTAGCTAACGCCTGTCGGATGTCCTTGGGGGACATTTTAAATTCTCCCTGATTTCTTGGAGCCAGACATTTCCTCTCTGATACTTCCATTCATGAATATTTTACATTTATTCTCCCTGATTATATCTCCATGTGATAGACCTGGTGCATTGAGTTTCTCAGGGAATGTATACAGGAAGCCCATAGTAGTGGGCTTTGTGCTTACCACTTAAATGTGGCTCTCTATCATGGACACTGATGGAGGAGAAGCTAAATGCTGGGCTTTGTGCTGGACCTCTAAGCTTAGGCCTTTGCCATCTGACTCATGGCCCAAAGGAGCTGTCAGTTCTCTTCAGAATCAGATAACACCAAGAACTTCCCAGTGGGCATTGGGAGCCACATGTGGGTCACTTTAACCAAAGTTGCTCACTAGTTTCCAAGTCCTCACCCCAGGACCTTTCCTTCCTGTGCAGTTCACCTCCAGTGCTATTACTAACACCTCCAACCTGAAAGAAGATGCTAAGTAACTTATCTGCACTGGGAAGTAAAAATTAACTTCAGAGAAAGAACAGCAATACCTAACACTCTCATGTGATCAATGGGGTAGAGGATTAAGGAGGAGATGCATGGATTGAAGGCCACAAATTTAGGAGTCTCTAGGGAAAATATGTCAATCCAAACTCTAGGAGGCATCAGGCTTTATCTAGGAGAGAGAAGGCTGAGGATATGACCCTGAAGAGGAGACAAAGAGCAATAGGAGCACAAAGAAATGGTGGTTAAAGAGGCAAGAGGTGATCCAAGGGAGCACAGTATGCTGAAAGCCAGGGAAGAAAGTCATTTCCCAATAGAGGAAGTATGAGTAGCATGTGACAAATACTACAGAAAATCTGGAGGAATGTGACCAAGGAACTTGGAAATACACCAGAACTTCCCTGGAAGAATCCCACCAGCACACTTATAGGATGTACCCTTCGAAAAGGTCTCCCTCTGGCTGCTTTGGAGGTGACCCTTCTTGTGGCCCAAGGGGAATACCAGAACCCAGCTGTTGGGTCTCCACCTCTCCTACAGGTAGCAGCTAAAAAGACATTGTGGTTGCAGAAAGGCATGTGAGGGGGTGCTGGGGCTATAGCTCAGTGGTGGAGCGTGTGCCTCCCATGTAAGAGGCACTGAGTTCGATCCTCAACACCACATAAAAATTAATAAGTAAATAAAATAAAGGTATTTTGTCCAACTAAATATATATATATAAAAGAAAGAAAGAAAGGCATGTGAGGGTCACTAGGGACCTGTTTCTCCAAGGCTGTAGGGGCAGGTGCTATCTCTAAGGAGCCTCCCAGGGAGGCTGCTGAGCCTGGGAGGATAAAGATTGGAAGGGCTCACAGCCTGGGAAGTTGCCTGAGATGCAGGTACTGTAGCACCCCACCTTTCAGAACAAAGCCCCCTGTCTACCTCCCCCTCAACCATGAGTAAGGGATAAGAATCAGAGCAGAGGAGGTAGGCCCAAGTTCTGCCCTCAGGAACTTGCAAACAACCTTGGCAACATAGTCCAACCAGGACCTTATGCTCTGAATGGCCTGGAGTAACATAAACAAGGATAGGATTTCCCTCACAAACATTCTAGACTTTTCCTTTATCCCTAGTGACAAGCATGTGTTTTTGACTACTGCCTCATTTTTAAAGGAACAGAGCTACTATATGCCATATAACCTTCTATTTTCATCACTGTGACCAAAAGAACTGACAAAGGAGAGAAATTTATTTGGGGTTCACAGTTTCAGAGGTCTCAGTCTGTCGATAGCTGGCTCCATTGTTCTGGGCCTAAGGTGAGGCAGAACATCATGGCAGGAGGGGCATGGCAGAGGAAAGCAGCTCAGGGAATTGTACCAGGAAACAGAGGGAAAAGATAGCTCCTCTCTCCAGAGACAAAATATATACCCCAAAGGCACACCCCCAATGATCCACCTCCTCTAGCCACACCCTACCTGCCTATGGTAATCCTTATCAGTAATCCTTATCAGGGGATTAATGCATTGATTAGGTTAAGACTCTCAAAACTTAATCTTTTCACCTCTGAATGTTCTTGCATTGTCTCACACATGAGATTTTGGGGAATGCCTGATATCTAACCCATAACACTTTCCCTTACTGAGTCACCAGCAGCCACACAAATCCCTAAGCCTGACCTGGTGGAGCCAATCTTGGAGCATTCTGTCTTCTGTCTATTTTCTGCATCTTCAAAGGCAGAATAGGCAGCAGCCCTGGATCCCCTCTGCAGTCCTTATACCTTAGGCTTCCATTCTGTTGTCCCTTGTTAAAATGTAAAAATGCATGGGATGGTAGCATCCATCTCAAGAATTGGTCATCAGCTTCTCAGGGAAAATATGGGTAACTCCAGTCCCTTCCAACTGGCTGAGGAAGGGGAGGCCAGGGTCCTGAATCTTGTAGCAAAGGATGGTATTTTGAAGGGGTGGCTAGGTTAGATAAGTACTCTGGTCAGCCCAGGGCCTACCACAGGGGTAGAGGCTATGAGGACTTGTCAAGGGAGATTGAGAAGGTTGCACATCCTGGACAACACACAGAATTGCATGCTCTCCTACCTTCCTTGTCATCTATAGCAGCAAGTGTTTTGCACTCTGGACAGCACAAAACAAACTGTATACCTGGTAGTTTGTCATTGTTTGTCTTCTTGCCTACTATGTACAGCCAACCTTTCAGATTCTCTCAGGAGACACTCCTTGGGACCCATCTGAGAACTGATTTGTTTGTTTGTTTGTTTGTTTGTTTTTGTCCAATTGCTTAAGGATTGTAATCTGGCTTGGCTTGGCCAGTTAGTTCTCTAGATTCTGCAAAGGACCTATTTAGCATTAGGAGAAGTGGAAGAAGAAGGCCCACCTCAGGGAGAACCATCTCTGATGTTGATCCATACTTAAGTCCCCAGGAACTAGCAAGTACACAAGAAGGCCTGAGGGCAACAAGTATGAAAGTTTGGAGAGGAGGTCCTATGGGTTTAAGGAAATCGTATTGAGCTGGGCATGGTGGCACATACCTATAATCCCAGCAATTTGGGAGGCTGGGGCAGGAGAACTGCAAGTTTAAGGCCAGCCTCAGCAATTTATCAAGACACTGTCTCAGTGTAAAAAGTAAAAAGGTCTAAAGAAGTGATTCAGTGGTTAAGCACCCAAGGGTTCAATCCCTGGGAGCAAAAAAATAGCAGAATCATGGTGGGCTTTCTGGAGGAGCCTGGATCTCACAGAACTTTGAAGATATACATTAAATGGTGTTAGTGGGACCAAGATCCTTGGCTCTTCTGTCCAGGTTTACATTTTTGTCCCATGGTAGGTGAGTCTGCCCCTCCGCCTCTTAATGTTCAGCCTGCTGCCCAGGGCAAACACTCCCAGAAGCCTGGAGGACAGTTGGAAAGGCTTGCTTCAGGGCCAAGAGCAGCCCCCTCTGTGCTCACTTGCTAACAACTGTTTGTCTCTCTGCTTTCTCCTCACAGGACCCAGCCGCCGCCTCCATCTCAGACGGAGACTGTGACGCCCGGGAGGGTGAGTCAGTAGCCATGAATTACAAACCATCCCCGCTCCAAGTGAAGCTGGGTGAGTGTGTCCTGGGGGTGAGGGAGATGTGGGACAGGAACAAGGTCCTCTGGGCTGGGTCTACAGTGAGGTACTACAAATAAAGCAACTCAGGCTAGTGATTACAACATGTAAGCCAGCATAGTGGCTTGCATGTTGTAATTACTAGCCTGAGTTGCTTATCTCCTGCAAGGCTAAGAAGGCAGTTACAGTTCTCTGCAGAATCCTGAAATTCCAGGGGGCATCTCTGAGGCCAAGAAGGCTCCAGGAGTTCTAGGAGATAGCTTCAAGGGTAAAAGCATGATACCACAGGGACAGGACTTAGAAATCCCATCAAACACTGGATTCAGGTAAGAGGAAGCTGACTTAGAGGTGGGCTGTCAGTTCTGTCCGAGGGATAGAAAAGAATGTGAGTTCCAAAGCCTAGCAGATGAGCCCTTCTCACCAGTACAACCTTATCCCACCTGGAGGTCTCAGGACTTTATTGATTCCCATCTCGAGAAGCAGTCCCTTATTTCCTTAGTAACCTAAATATCTCCACCTTTCCAGATATCTCATCACCTTTTCCTTGGAGGTTTATTTCATGTCCACTCAATGTTAGATTACTATACAACGACTCCTTTGAAGTCATCTGGCTCCCCATCACCACCCACAGCTCCTGCAGGTGCAGTTCATGCCTCACCCTATGCTAACTACTGGCCTTTCTCCCTTTAGGGACCAAAGTTTCACTGACCTCAGGCTGATGTAGATAATAGACTTTTACTAATTATAGCACAGTACACACAGAGAAGAGCTTGCAAATATAAGTCATCACTATTCTTCAAAATTCCTCTGCCATCCCAGCCATCCTCCCAGCCATCTTTCTCCTTAGATTCCAACTTCTCACCAATAGTGGGCCCTTCCTCAGTCCTAAGAGCCTCTTCCCATCCCTTCACAAACCTTCTTCCTCACATCTGCCAAGACTCCTTTATTTTATTTTTCAGAAATAAATTTATTATTTTTTCTGTGCTAGAGATCAAAGCCAGAGTTTCATGTGTGCTAGGCAAACACTCTACCACTGAGCCACATCCCAGCCCCAGAGTTCTGTTCTTTTAATTTACATTTTTGTTTTGTTTTGTTTTTCTTTTACTTTGTTTTTCTCCTTCCAGACCACATCTAGGGAGCCCCTTGAGCTGATTTCCTGAACAGGAGAACATTTTTCTCAGTGGAATTATTCATCTTCCTAGGACATAATACTAAAATTGCAGCCATTTTTGTTTGTTATTGTTTAATTTGTTGTATTTTAATGAGAATAAGTTCTCCTCTACTCTCACCCATCAGTTTCTTTTCTCCAGAGGTAATCCTTCTTCCCTCCCCCTCAAGAGGTAATCATTCTAAGGGTTTTTTATTTTTTAATTTGTATAGTTTTATTTTGTATCTTAACACAAATGGTATCACATTGTACACACTTTCTGAAAGTTGTTCTCCCCTCCACATAAAAAAATCTTCCCCTTACCCACTTCAATCTAATGTATGAAATATGATATGTCAAGAGCTTTGTAATGTTGTGAACAACCAGTAAAAAAATAAAAAATTAAAAAAAAAATCTTCCCCTTTGAACACCAATATATAGCAGAAATTTTATTATTTTAAATGATTGCATAATAGTCCATAGTTTGATTTTTGCTAGTTTGTTGTTTGCATTTTTCCACTCTTTCCAACAATTTTAGCATTCTTTAAAGTAACGTTTTGTTTTCTCTCTGTTACATTACCACTAAAGCCTCTCATGAAAATTCACAATTGCACTAAGGAAAATCACCACCAGGAACTATTAGGCAAATTGCACCCCCTAGAGGCATGGATGGTTATGGCAGATGCTGTCTGCTGAAAGAGGCTGGGGAAAAGCTAAAGGAGCCAGACAAGCAGTGGTGAAAAAAAAAAAAAAAAAAGTCAGAGAATATAAAATGAGAAATTTAGAGACATGGAGGTAAGGGGCTATTTTAAAGTGAATCACAGCCAGGCCTGGCAACTTGAAAGGCTAAGGCAAGAGGATTACAAGTTCAAGGCCAGCCTCAGTAACTTAGGAGGCCCTAAGCAACTTAGTAAGACCCTGTCTCCAAAAAAATAAAAAAATTTTTTTAAAGGGCTAAGAATGTACCTTGGTGGTAAAGCTCCCCTATGCTCATTCCACAACATCATAAATAAAGTGAAATAGCTATAAAGACCCTTCCATTCTTACACTCTGGAGCATGCAGTTATTTTATGAGACAACTTCCCTAGTGTCTTTTTCACTAAACAGGCTGTTTTCCTAAATCTAGACTTTACTTGAGATGAGTAGAAAAGAGTAGATGGGCTTTTCCAGGACCCAGGCGGCTAGCTACTAATGGTAACAGTTATCATATACCAAGCAGTGGGTCACCTGATGGCCAGTCCCATGAGCCTGGTAAGCTCTGGACCCTAAGAGAACTCAGAGACTGGTAGGAGTCAGGAGCAGTGCTTAGGCAGTATAGCAAAATGGGCTCCCTTAGCCTCATGACCTCTACCCTGCCTGCCCTTTTCTGTTTCTTCCACTCTAAAACCTTCAGTGGCTTTTTCTTTCTGCATTAATTCCAAATTCTTCAGTGTAACATTCAAGGCCTTCATGTTCTGAGTTTATAAACAGAGGGAGTCTCTAGCTTCTTGGCACAAGACTTGACACATGATTAGTAACTCCAATGTTAGGAGTTTTTCAATAAATGGCTCCTTTCCCAAACTTACCTCTCTCCCTCTTCACCCTTCTAGATCTATCCAGATGCATACTTAAGTTCTCTTCTAAATGCATTTTTGTATATGATTCCCTCCTTCCTAGAGTGCTCTTCTTTGTCCAACTCATAATGTCACCCACAGGCAGCCCTCCCTGATTGCTCCTGTGATCATCTCTTTCTCTTCAGCTTTTCCTTGGCATCAAGCACACACTGACTACCCGATATGGGAGCTGTGGCTCCTTCAAGGCAAGGCTCAGCCTTCTCCTTTTGCCTCCTACTATCTACCTCAAGTTATGCAGGGACAAGTACCATCTCTACTGAGTAGCAGAAGCCTGGAGTTAGGATTCCTACCTCAGTTCATAGAGGACCAAGGGGTTTCACAATGGAGGCAGGGCCCTGGCTGCCCCAAGTGGTAAAATAGGTTTACCTGGGGCAGGACACAGCTTCCTTCCCATATTCTCTTGCAGAGAAGCAGCGGGAGCTGGCCCGGAAGGGCTCTCTGAAGAATGGCAGCATGGGCAGCCCTGTCAACCAACAACCCAAGAAGAACAATGTCATGGCCCGGACGAGGTAGAGACCTGTCTACCCCAGCTGGACCCTGCCAGCCAGCACATATCTCTGCTGGTCCTAAGTCTCTTCCTCTTTCCTCTGTCCTAGGGTGGGGTCCAAGGCAGGGAGGGAGGGAGGGAAGAGGGAAGGGAGGGAGTGAATGAAACAAGGCTCAGCCCAGTCCCCTCCAGGTCTGTGTTCCAGTTTCCATTCCAACTCCAAAATTTTTCACCCAGGCTGGTCGTCCCCAATAAAGGCTACTCCTCGCTTGACCAGAGCCCAGATGAGAAGCCACTGGTAGCTCTAGACACGGACAGGTGTGTACACGGTCTTGGGACAGCCAGGCAAGCCATATGAACCTGTGTGAGCACATACAGGTCACACCTGCTATATTGCTAGAATGGTGTATTCCTCAATTAGGAGCTCTGCAAGGGTGAATTCCTCAGGGAATGTAATTTTTTAGAAGAAAGAGGGTGGGAAGAGAGAGAGGAAAGGAGGACCAGCACAGTGTTCTGCTATCCTGGAACAGCTGGCTACTCTTTGATGGGCCCTGTTGTTGAATCTGGGAAGTAGGATGGATGCTTAATGCTTCACTCTTTGTAAGGGAAGAGCCCTACTCCTCAGAAAACATCTGGCTAGACCTAGAATTTGGGAAGATCCAACAAGTGGGGTTGATTTGAGCCTAATGGGGGCAGGAGGTGGGGATAGAGATGCAGTGAAGGGAGTAGCAGTTCTGTTTGGAAGAAATAACTTATTTCTAAATAATTTATTTAGAAAGGTGGGGCTGGGGAATCTTCATTTTAAAACCTGAATTTACACAGCATGCATAGATTTTATTTAGAACTTCACATTTGCTGTCATTGGGCTGGGTGTGGTATTGACCAATGGAAGCGGGGGTGCAGGGAGTTTTCTATTTAATTTCTTGGAATCATTTTTTCTCTGCCCTCTCTTCTCCACGGCTAGCGATGATGACTTTGACATGTCCAGATACTCCTCATCTGGCTACTCCTCTGCTGAGGTGAGGCCCCACCCCTTGCCGCCCTAGACACATCTGAGCAGGACCACCTCTATCAAGCAGCCCAGGGTGAGGCCAAAGCCAAAGCACCTGGAGAAGAGGAATAGGCACAATGGGCAGAGCCCTGTGGGGACAGAGCTCCGAGTGGAGCTGGGGCTAGATAGGATAGCATATGAATCATTAGCTTCAACTGCAGGAAGCCAATGATTAGGGGCCAGGGTTATTGGAGCATGGCTCTTAAATAGAATGGAGTGTGAAATATATGGGACACCTTATAGAAGTAGACCTGAAATTGGGCAAAACCCTAACAGAAGAACCACTAGATGTGAGCAGTAGTCTTTGGAGTGAGTAGGGATCTGTAGAGATGTGTGGAAAATGTGCACTGAAGGAAGTGAGGCCAGAGCTGGGGTGGGGCCTATAAAGGGAAGTGCCTGAACTTTTGGAGAGGCCTGGGATGGGTTGGGTGGTTGCAGTGGAGTGACTGCCCTAGTGGGTGCAGGGCCTTCCCACCGAACAGAGCCTGACCTCCCTCCCCTTTGCCTACAGCAGATCAACCAAGATTTGAACATCCAGCTGCTGAAGGATGGCTATCGGTTAGATGAGATCCCCGACGACGAAGACCTAGACCTCATCCCCCCCAAGTCCGTGAACCCCACCTGCATGTGCTGCCAGGCCACATCCTCTACCGCCTGCCACATTCAGTAGCCGGCGGGGCCGCTGCGGCTGCAAGGGGAAGCGCCAACACGGGCCAGGTTGGACCAGGCAGGGGCTGATCCCTCCCTAGCTCGTCCTCGTGCCCCTGGCCCTACACCCCTTACAGCCGCCAACCTCGTAACAGTCATTGCTTCCTCCTATGGTAGGACGTGTACCTCTGTGTGTTCATGGAGCCGGAGAAACCAAAACCGGGTCTCTCTCTACCCCAGGGGCTGAAGAGGGGTGGGGGTTTCTTGTTCAGTTGCTTGAGGGACCTCCCCCAGCACCCTATTCCCCTCTCTAAAGCCACAGTCTGGAGGTGGGGAGACCTGGAAGGCAGGGAGGCCAGCAGTATGAGCTGGGAGAGGGATCACAAAGCCAGGGCTTGACCCCACCTCAGCAAAGCCATGAATCCCCCAGACCCAGACTGACCAGCAAACAGGTTGGAAGAAAGAAAGACCCAAGGCAATGGGGGTGGGTCCCAGAACCTGGGAGCCCTCTCTATGTGACTCCTATAAGCCAGTGTACCTTGTTGTGTTTTCCCTTCTTCTCTAGATGGGAAGTCTGATAAAGTTGTCCAAGGAGATATTGTCCCCCTCTCATCAGATCACTGCCTTCTTTTGCCTCTTCCTCCTATTCACCCCTTTCCTTTTTCTCCAGGTGTGGTATGACCTGTCCTCATGCCCCTAACCAATACATTTATCTCTCTGCCTTCCCTGTTCTCTTCACCAATAACACTGGTCTCAGGTTGGAAGCAGGGTAAGGCTGGCCTCCAGTCCCCATTCCCAACCCACCCCAGCCCAAGGTCTGAGAGTCTGGTTCCCAGTAAAACTCTTCAAGGAGCAAGCTTAGGAGGATATAGCAGCTGAGCAGCTGCATGTACATGGTAGGGAGCGCTTGGCAGAATGTGTGTGTGCGCGCATCTCATGTAGGACCTGCCTCTCCAGGATTCTGTTCCTGTCATATACGTAGTGTCCACAGTGGGGAAGTGACTGTGGTTTTTTTACAATGTGGGAGCCTGCTCAACCATGCAGTTGACTTGAGATTCTGGCCTGGGTATCAAAAGCCTGGGTTCTGACACTCTCTTCATGTACTGTCTTACAGCAAGCCACATGTTTTCTCTAGGCTTCATTTTCCCCAAATGAAAAATAAAAAGCAGCTGCAATTATTCTTAAGGTTCCTTCACACCTGAAGGAATTTTTTCATAGGAATTTCTGTGGAAGAGTATGAGGAGATTTCTGTGTGTCTTTGAGTGCACTCAGGGGGGCCTCCCTAAGTATGTCTCTGCAGAAAGGGGAAGTATATGTGAATCTGTTTGGAAAGAAGTGTGTATGTGTGTGTGTGTGTGTGTGTGTGTGTGTGTGTGTGTGTGTGTGAGAGAGAGAGAGAGAGAGAGAGATTGTGTATGTGCATGGAGGTGTTTATTTTGTGTGTAACTGGGATGTCTGGGGATCAGAATGTATATTGCTGCTTTTGCTGCTATTACTGGGTTGGAGGCTGGGGGCAGGACAGCTGAGGATGAAGATCAAGAGAAAGGAGGTTGGGGCTGGGGATGTCGCTCAGTGGTAGAGTGCTTGCCTAGCAGGCGTGAGGCCCTGGGTTTAATCCTCAGCTCTGCCAAAAAAGAAAAAAAAGGAGAGAGAGTGACAGTGAGAGAGAGAGAGAGAGAGAGAGAGAAAAGGAGGGAGGGAGGGAGAAAGAAAGAGAGAAAGAAAGAAAAACGAGAGAAGGAGGTGAATAGGGCTCTCCCTTGGGCTGGGCAATATGGACCTGCCCCCATGCAAAGAAAAATGAAAGCACAGATGGCCTCAGACTGCTTGGACCTATGCCCCACAAATTTCCCACAGGTTCAAGGAATACTTTTCCCTGTGCTCTTGTTCTGACATCTGACACCCCACACATGCTGGTGTATCCACTGTCATGGATACCACTCACATGCTGCCCTCTGGACAACAGTCCTGGGACGTGGGAACTGGAAGCGGCAGATGGTGAAAGGAAAGAGTGAGGCTGCTGGCTTAGGAAGGGTAGCAACTCTCCCTGCATCACACCCAGGTGCTGCCAGGTTCAAAGTGTTGGGGTACAACTCTATGCTCTCCTCACCTCCAATCTACCCTTATGTCCTCTAGTTATATAATGAGGAAATGCCAAAGGGAGGACAGAATAGGGATTTGTAAGGCCCACAAAGCCCACTTGGCCCCCATCTCAAGCTCTTCTCCCACCCTGATCAGCATCCCCACTCCCTGTCATCTGGGATCCAGAGCTAGGCCTCCCACTACCACCACCCTGGGCTCCTTGACTCACCTTTCTAGAACATGGGTACCTCCTCTTTTATAGACTGCTGCCTTTGCTGCTGACTTACTATATGACTCTGGCCCATTGTTCAATCTCTGTGGCCCTGAGGAAAGCTCCCTCCCCAAAGGACATATTACTTTTCTGGCAGGCAAGGACTTCCAACTGAGGCAGTGTACATGTGGCAGGGAGAGATAGGAAGCTGGCAGCCAGCAGCTTCTACATCTAAGGAGAGTGCATGGTTCCCTCCTTCCCTGTCTGGGAGGTTGAAGGGGAAGAACCAAGGCCTTAGCTTGCCCCTGCCTCCTGCCCCCTTGTAGATACTGCCTTAACACTCCCCCTACCCTTGGCTGTGGCTTTCACCCAGCCAGGTTTCTCCGCGCTCACTAATTTATTTCCAGGAAGGTGTGTGGAAGACATGAGCCGTGTATAATATTTTTTTTTAACATTTCCATTGCAGTATTGACCATCATCCTTGGTTGTGTATCGTGTAACACAAATAATGATATTAAAAGCATCAAACAAGCCAGCCTCAGCTCCCTACCTGGGGTGTGGGCTAGGGGCAAGTGGGCTGGGAAGGGACAAGAACTGACCCTCTGGATGCACATGTCATTCTACCTCCACTTGTGGGTTCCTGGGAGTACCACTGACCTGCTGTGTGACCCTAGGTGAGTCACGAACCCTCAGAACCTCTATTTCTGTCCAACAAAAGAGATTAGCCTAAAAGGTCTCCAGGGGCTCTCTGAACTTTTGGAAATTGTACTCTTTTGAGGGGCTCTAGGCAGGAAGGGGCTGAGAGTGGGGAGGAAATTAGACTCTCCCCAGGGAGGGGACTGGGTCAAGTGATATCATAATGGGCAGTGCCCATCCTGGAGAGAAGAGCAGAGTGGAGTAGGAGCAGGAAGGTTGTGTGGGAGGAAAGCTAAGAGATCCTCTATAGGAGGGGGTCACAGTAGCTAGGGGCACCTTCCAGGCTGGAGGTGTGGGCTATCTAGTGGGAGGGGTGGTCACTGATGTCTACCAGGAGTCCTTGATAGGTAGAGCCCACCACAGCATCCCTAAGAACTCACCATGTTCCTCTTCTCCCGTAAGACCAAGACCCCCATCAGTACCTACAGTGACTCCTACAGGGCTCCCACCTCCATCAAGGAGGTCTATAAGGACCCACCTCTGTGGGCCTGGGAGGCCAACAAGTTTGTGACCCGGGTAAGTGGAGGTTTGGGGAGGAGTAGGCCAGAGTATATGGCCATGTGTGTCTGGATGACTGGCAAAGTGTGGCTGTCACTATGTGTTTGTAATTATTTATAGCTTTGTGCATACGTGTCATTTATTTGTCTAGGCACAAAATGTACAATGGTATGTAAAAAAAAGTGTAAGATCTTACCTTCATGGATCTATACCAGGAAAGGAGGTAGAAAGAGAGAGATAATAAGAGTCTTATAAATTGTCAGAAATGCTATAAAGGAAATAAACATGATATGAAAATAGAAAGGAGTGGGTAGGTCATGGAAGACCTCTTTCTTTCCATTTTACAGTGCTGAGTGCTCTACTACTGAGTTACAGCCCTAGCCTAGATCTCTTTCTCTCAAGGTGACATTGAGCTGAGTATGAAAAGATGAGAAAGAAATAGGCTTGTGAAGAGCTGAAAGAATAGAAGAACTGAAAGTTCTACCAGAGTGATCAGAAAGTATAAAGGCCAGTGGTTGCCTGTAGGATAGGCCAGAAAATGTCCTATAGGCATGTCTTAATGCACGTTTATCACCATCTCTTTGTGTGTGTCTGTGTTTGAAGATGAGCAGCCAAGTGGGTCTATGTAGCTTTCACCAAAGGGAGAAGAAATCTGGGAGTCTAACTGTACCTCTGTCTAAGAGAACTGGCCACATGTACCTTTCAACAAAACTTTGCTGAGTATTTTCTTGTGTAGGCTCTAGGAATACATACAAAAAGGAAGGGCCAGCCCTTGCCTTTAAGGAGCTCTCAGCAAACAGGTAAGCAAAGTCAGGTTGCTATATGTGGGCCATGTAGAGCAAGTGCTGACTGGAATTCCAGGAAGGGATGAGCACTCCCAGGTCCTGGAGTCTGCTGAGTGACTCTTCCTACAGAAGAGTTTTGAGAAAAGGCAGCCTAAGGGCCCTACCTGGAACTGAAGCTGTTAGAGCAGAAGGAGAGAGATCATAGGCTGCAGACCAAAAAGGGCCCTTAGATTATGTTGAGGAACATGGACAAAGGCTCCAGGTTCCTGAGTTTGAGAGTGTCATAGCTGAATTGTGATTTAAGCCACTGCAGCCACGGTGTCACAGAATTAGACAGATTGGGACTGAGGACATGAAGGCCAATGAGAAGTGAAAAGAAAGAAGAGCCAGGCATAATGGGACATATCTATAACCTCAGCTACTCTAGAGGCTGAGGTGGGAGGATCACAGTTCAAATTTAGTAAAACTGTCTCAAAAAAATAATAAATAAAGGCTAGGTGGATATAGCCTAGCACACACAAGGTCCTGGGTTTGATCCACAGTACTACAAACAAAAAGGAAGAAGAAGGATGTGGGTAAACGATAACAACAAAAAACTGCAACAATTTTTTAAAAAGTGATTTTTAATTGGAAAATTTTTAAATAATATATTTCATCTAACAACAAAATAAATATATGCTCAGGGCTGGAGTTGTAGCTCAGTGGTAGAGCGCTAGCATGTGCGAGACCCTGGGTCCGATCCTCAGCATCACATAAAAATAAATAATTAAAATAAAAGGTATTATGTCCACCTACAACTAAAAAAATATTTTTTTAAAATATTTATGCTCAATGCAGAAAATGGAAATAACTCAGAATCATAAGAAAAATGATCCAGCCCCAAGTATAGTGGTGCACATCTGTAATCTCAGCAGCTCAGGAGGCTATAGCAGAAAGATGAAAGTTCAAAGCCAGCCTCAGCAAACTTATTGAGGTCCTAAGCAACTGAACAAGACCCTGTCTCAAAAAAAAAAAAAATTAAAAAGGGCTGGGGATGTGGCTCAGGGATTGAGCTCCTTTGAGTTCAATCCCTGATCCATAATCCCACTGTCCAAAATAACCACTATTAATGTATTATTAAATGCCCTTTTAGGAGGTAATTTTTTTACAAAAATGGCATCATATTGTACTAATATTTTAAATCTTGCATTTTTCAAATAGCCTAATATAGGGATATTTTCTGTTTCAAAAATACTTTGCAGGGGCTAGGGCTGGAGCTCAGCGGTTGCGCACTTGCCTGACATGTGTGAGGCACTGGGTTTGATCCTCAGCACCACATATAAACAAATAAATAAAATAAAGATCTATCAACCATTAAAAAATTTTTTTAATTAAAAAAATACAATGTAATTTTATTGATGACATAGAATTCTTTGTACAAATGTGCCATAATGTATTTGAGGAATCTTATCAGAAATTTAGATTATTTATAAAATATTGCCAGTATAATCAGTCTTCTACTTATATCTTTGTACACATCTTCAACTATTTCCTTAGGATAAATTCCTATATGTGAAACTATTTGAAGAAAGGACATACACATTTTTAAAATTTTTGATATATGCCTCAAATTGCTAAAATAAGGGATGTAATAATTTATATTCCCTCAAGCAAAATATTAGAGTGCCTGCCTACATTTTCATTCTCCATAGAAGGAATTTTAAGAAGTAGATTGACAGATCTTAGTGATTACCTTGATATAAAGCTAGAGAGTTTAGGATGACTCCTGGATTTTTGGCTCTGGCAGCTAGAGGAAAGGTAGTGCTACCAAAATATTTGGAATATTAGACTGGGGACTTGGAATTCATTTTGGGACACAAATACATGAGATGATCCAGGAAAAGATACCTGGTAGGTAATTAGATACATAGTACTTGCCTGAAGCAAAGGAAAGAGGCCTGGGCTACAGAGAGAGCTCAAAGTTTTCATCATATAAATGGTAGCTGAGTAATAGGAGTGGATGAGTTTGCCCAAGAAGAGTGAGAAAATGGCCAAGGACATTGGTGAATATCAATATTCAAGAATCATAAAAGAAGACAGAGATTTATAGCCAGAAAGGAGGAAAAATCAAGAAGACACCAATAAACACTGAATTATTAGACAACGGTCAGTGTGAAATGCTGTTGACACAGAAAGGGATCTCTCAGAAATAGTAACTATTGGTAAACTGGCCAGACAGCTTTAGTGCAGAGAGAGAAGTGAATCAGATTACCCTGGGAGTAAAAATGAAGGAAAGGCTTCTGTGTCTGGCAGTGTGGTGGATGATCTGACGTCCCCTCCTGCTTCAAAACAACTAAGTCTTGCATTAGAACTAATTCTTATTTTGTTTTGGACTCTTACGGGGGTGAATAGTAAATATACTAACAACAAAATAAATATATACTTGATGCAGAAAATAGACAGAGGACAAGCATTGCCCTGAGGGCAAATGCCAATATTGGCATTATAATCTGGAGTTTTAAATGTTAAAACTAAATCTGTTAATTTCCAACTGAAAAAGAAGGTTAATATCTCTTGCTCCTTGCCACCTCCTACACACACACACACACACACACACACACACGAGTAATCTATATCTTCTGTGGTAAAAAACATCCTCAATGTAGGTTTCCAGGCATCCTTCAGAGTAAGGCCAGACACAAGCTCACAATAAGAAATATAGGAAAACAAACAGCTGGTATAGCTCAGTGATAGTGTTTGCCTAATGTGCACAAGGCCCTAGGCTCAATCTCTGTACCACAAGGAAAAGAGAAATCCACCATATTACAGAATCAGCAGTAACAACAAATGGCAGACTTAACTACCAAAGTTTTCAGATAATGAAATTAACAAAGAATACAAAATATTTCTCATTTTTGAAGTAAAATCAAAATAAGAAAGCAACAAGGAAACATTCTTAAAATTGAGCAAATAAATATACAGATGCGTAGAAATTTTAGAACTGAAAACTGTTTTAGTAAAACCCAAAACTTAGTGGATAGGTTAGAGATGAGATTAAACATCCTTGAAAATTTCATTCATCCTATCTTTCATTTCAGTGAAATGAAAGATAGGATGAATGAAATTTCCCAGAATGCAGTACAGAAAGGCAAAGAGATGGAAAATATGAACAAAACATTAAGCAATATGAAAGAAAAAATGAGAAGGTCTCGGGGGTTAAAAAAAAGATGGTGAAATGAGATGGACATCACTACCCTAGGTACATATATGAAGAAGACACAAATGGTATGAATATACTTTGTGTACAAGCATAGATATGAAAAATTGTGTTCTATATACATTCTGCTATCATATATAACAAATTAGAATTAAAAAAATTTTAAATGAGAAGGTCCCACACTCATCTAATCAGAGTCCCAGAAAGGAAGAGGAGAGGGGGGAAAAAAAAAAGAGAATAAGCATTATCTAACAAGAAATAGGCTTAGGATTTTCCAGAGCTAATAAAAGGAACAAATCCCAGAAAAGAAAGAGATTCCACAGTTAGATGCCTTGCAGTGAAACTATAGAACACCAGCTTAAAATCAAGCAAAGAAAAAGTTTCATTGTCATCCTTTCAAGAACAAAGACATTTACAGGAAAACAAAAATGGAAAGGTTGGACTGAAGGTCATTAGCTCCCTGTTAGAGCACTTTTTTAGCATGCATGAGACCCCAGATTCAATCCCTAGCACCCCCATATCTAACTATCTAACTCTCTCTCTCTCTCTCTCTCTCTCTCTCTCTCTCTCTCTCTCTCTCTCTCTCTCTCACACACACACACACACACACACACACACAAATTTACTATCAGATCTATAAATTATAAGGAAACTTCTAAAAGATATACTTTGAGAATAAGGAAAATGAACACGGAAGGCAAGTCTGAGATGCAGGAAAGAATGGTGAAAAATTGATTTTAAAAAAGTTGAATTTAAGGGCTGGGGATGTGACTCAAGTGGTAGGGTGCTCGCCTGGCATGTGTGTGGTCCGGGTTCGATCCTCAGCACCACATACAAACAAAGATGTTGTGTCCGCCGAAAACTAAAAAATAAATATTAAAAAATTCTCTCCCCCTCTCTCTCTCTCTCTCTCTCTCTCTCTCTCTCAAAAAAAAAAAGCTGAATTTAAGCAAACATTACCTATAGAAAATAATTATAAGCCAGGCTCAAAGGTGCATACTTGTAATCCCAACACTTCAGGAGGCTGAGGGAGAAGG